ACAATCGCGACATTTATTTGTGGTACATCAGCCTACAACATAACCATTAAAAATGGAAACGTTTTTAACATTGTTTCCGCTTTTATTTCCACAAAAACATTGTTGCTCTTCGTTTGCCTATCATATAATGTCCTATTATTATTAACGTATATTAATGTCCTATAATTATTAACGTGCAATTTCCGTCGACGAAATTCCAAACTGACTGACCGGGACACCAGCGTGGACCTGCCCTAGAATCTCCGGCAACGATCTAAGTTTGGTGAAATTGTCAGTGAAAAAACATTTCGGCTAGTGCTCTGTTTTTGAGTGCAGGAAGGAGACTTACACCTTTGTCACCTCTTTTCCCGGGGATCAAATTCACAGTAGTAGTTCGCCTTTGCCTTCCAATGTATGAACAGTAGTAAGGTGGTGAGCGGGAATATGTTTATAGTGCAGGTGATGAAAAGCCAACCATACTACAACCACAGAATGAAACAGCTCAACGTACTAGAGCAACTCCAACCCCTGCGCCACCAATGCTAAATTTGTAAATGAAATTCAAATTAAATTATTACCTTTGGACGGAGCTCTTAGGCCTAATATATTTTTATTACAACTACCTACGTTTTGACCTTCTCCTTTCGACCCTTGAAGACAAGAATGCCTCAAACTAGCCCACTTTTCGCGTGAAGGTGCATTCTTTGATAATCTGAGATCAATAAAAACTTCCAAATTTAATGTTGATAGATCAGTAGTTTACCGGAAGATCGAAAGGATGTGTCAAGCAACTTGCAAAACTCTCGCATCTTGGCCAAATTTTGAGGGATTCCGTTTGATAGAAAGTCACTTTGCAATGTGCGGACGTATTGCGTCAGTGGCTCATCCCCGGCTGAAAGGGCTCCCCTCTGTCGCAGCCCCGGGGCCCCCAGGCGCTTCAGCAGAACACCCGCCCGCGACTCGCGCAGATGAATCGGGAAGATGGAATTCCTCACTCGGCAGCAGACCTTTCTACACACTTTCGTTCGGTTAACGTTCAAGTATGAAGTATAAAACACTACTGCTTAAAAGACGGTTATTTGAGATAATGCGCTGAAGTTTTAGTAGCAAACCCATACATTTATTTTTATCACAAGCTTTCTTATCGCGCAAGTACTATTGATTGTTATTTATTTTGGCAGAAATTGAGTTATTTGCCGAAGTTTCTAGGGATAGTCACAGGTCCTATGACGGGAGTTCCTCTTAGGCAATTAGATTCAGAAAATCGTTGAAATTGGTCAATGAAATTGTTTAAAGGTGTAGTCAAAGTTTATAGTATAGATTGGGGGCCAATAGCCGAATGTGAACTAGCGACTGATCAGTACAATAAAGACCAACATCCTATCATAATCATATAATAATCAAATAATTATCATGAAGTTGATAATTATTTGTTTTCTGATATACAGATACAAATCATCTAATTACGAATTAAGAAATTACGAAACCTCATATTTATAATCATGCATTGTCAACTTTATACCTCAATAACCTCCTATCAGCAATATACTCTGCAGAAATGTAAAAGTTATTTCTTAAAAACAGCTTAAGTCTGCGTTTTGCAATCATTACACGACAATGAAAGACTCTGAAGCGGGAATGTCGCTAATTATTCGAAATTTGAGATATTTACGGAAAATATTGGTGTGCGTAATTGTAATAAGTTATTTATGTGCAATTAGTTGTATTATGAATACGGTGTATATTGTACAGAAAAATGCAAGGGGGATCAATGTCGCAAACAATTATTTTCAAAGGGGTCAATTCATGGAAAAGGTTGGTAATTAGAGCATATGAAGAACTATAATGATCTAACAGGGATAATATCGAATCTAAACATAGCTTTGTTAATATTTTTGTCAAATTGTGACTTGAAATCTGCATAGCGCCGCTTGAATTCACTTTGTGGCGTAATTCACTTGGCATCGAACGAAAAGACCTTCTGTTCGCTCTTACATCATTCGTTTTCTATCATGTTCGCTTCGATAGAGTGTACGTGAGAACATTGGGAGATGAGGAAATGTAGATTTCTAAAGGGTCCATTCAACTCCAAGATGCTGTGATGATATTTCTAGAGAAATCTTCTGAGAACTTTGTAGCAATCGAGCTAATTCATAAAATTTGTGTTGAAACGTAAGTGGTTAAGTTTTTAGTACTCAAGACAGAATAAGGGAAAGTGTGGGATATTGCCGGGTGGATTGTAACAGCATTGCATAAAACGTGCGGCGCAAGAAGTCGGAGACCTAACTGAAGCACGTACAACACCGCTAAATGATGATTCCTCCAGTTCTGTTAATTATTTGTCAGTAGTCGAGATTTTTAGAGTTATTATAGTACTTTTCTTCGCATACGTTTATGAAACTATGTTGATTTTGAAACTTAGTGCACAATGCATGGGAGTAATGAACATTGCTTTCAGAATTAACTGCTCTGAATACCTCGTGGTCTCTACTGTTCCTCTGTCTTTGTTCACACAAAGAGAAACCTTACTTAATGTCAGTAAATATAAAGCTTAATGTAGTATAAAACCAACTCGGCTCAGGGCCCTGAGGAAAGTTCCGAGAGTGAAAGCACGAGAAGCGCCGCAGGTCATTCTTAAAGAAACCGTATAGCTTTCCATCCAATTCCAAAATCAGGTCTCGCTGCTGGTGATGCTTAGCCTTAACCTCAATGCAGACTCTCCCCTCGAGGGCCAGGCGCGCGCGGGGCGGGAGCGGACACGTCACGCGTCGATACGTGACGTCACCAGTGCCGCGAGGGCGGAAGGGAGCGGGCGGGCGCGTGCTGCAAGGCACGTAGGCCGCGTGCTGGCCAATCACACGCCCGAGGGCGCGACGGTCCTGGGAAGCGATTAGCCCAGTTGCGGCCCCGGCCTTTCCCATCGTAGCCTGAAGCACGTGCAGGTAAGCCTCCCTTCGGAACGACACTGTTCGAGGTCTCGTAGCGGCTGCGACAGCGCAGCGCAAAATTAGAATCTGCAGTATCGTTAGCTGCATCGTAAGTCCTGGGGATGGAGTCCCGATAGACAGGATTTTCGACACTAGCTACATAACTGGGTCAAATTCAGCTACTACGTGGAGGTGAAATCTTGCGGCGAGATGCTCTGATAGGTATTTTTCTGAGGTTTCTCCGATCAATATCTTAGGATAGTTGGAGCAATGTCTGTAACAAATGGGCCATGGATCATACAGCATATTTCTTAGAGGTTGTCCCTGCTGGGGCGACACACCTGAAGAGGGAGAAAGCAGGTGTAGGTCAGTGCCTGATCTCAACTTCCGGCGAAACACCGTCACCTCCCGCGATATAATCTCTTTAAAGGAATATATTTCCATTAGAGTACGATTTTCAAGATAGGAACGAAATGAAATTAAATATATACAATTAACCCCTTTTCAACCCTATTAAAAGGAATGAGTGAATTTAAGTGCAAAATAAACAGAACCACACGTGACTTTCGATCATATTCTACATGTTGCAAACAGAAGAGGAGGAAATCATTTTTGAAGGAAATATTACTCCATTTGAACAGATATTACTCAAGTGAGAAATGGTAATTCCTTAAACTTGTCTTAAATGTTCCTGTTACATCGATTCAATTCTTTTTCCTATGATATGAGAAAAGACGTCATTCAGTCATAAGTCAAGTCTGTGGAGAAATCTCGCTAGAACTGGCGACGTATTTCCTCTGCAATTGTCGTCACAAAGGTGAAATGTTCTACGCTTTTAATGCACGTTTTCATCCCCCAGTTCTCTTGAAATGTACCCTAAGTGGATCAATTTCATTCCCAGAATTATATTCAGGGATCTCAAACCTTCGTATATCAGAACTCTAATTATTTTTCTTGAAAGTTCTCCTTTCAAGGATTCTCGCGGCAACATCTTCCCTCAGAGCTTCACGGAATATAAGATTTCATTGATCAATGAGGAATCGAAGGCAAAAGACAAAAATCTGTGTGAATATCCATGGAAACTGTTAAACAAGTGGAGACTATCCGTAACTGGCGTAGTGAAACACTCCATTCCACTTACATGACTTTCAACACGCGACAGTTACATTGATTCTGTTTTGTTCTTTTACACATGTATCCCATCATACATGTTAAGAAGTGTTTTTCAAAATTTTGGAATAGTAGTGTCTTGCAAGAGCAGATAAAATGTTGACAATATCGTTTTAAAGAAGCAAACATGTTTAGAGACTGTTGGTCGTGGAATACGTAAGACGTTTCTATGAGTACCTGTTTTATAATATCTGCGTGTCAAGAAGCAGATCTCGAGAACCAGAAACCAGGAAATACTTTTTGCCATTATAGAATTTACATGCCAGATCAATGAAGAACGTTTAATTGTTCTAATAGGAGTGCAAATGGAAATGAATATTTGGCAAACTGTGATTTCGTCTTCTTACCTAACATTCCATGTTTACATATTGACATTTAAAAGTGGCCCTTTAAACATTACCCAACTCATTAATCATTTTATAAAATGCCTGAAGGAAATTGCAGTGATCTTCATGCAAATGTTTTTGTACTTCAAAGTTTATCACGCATGGAAATTTCCCCATAAACATGAACAAGGTGAGAATATTGATAGCGCCATCATACGTCTGCCACAAAATATACCAGAATATTGTTGGGTAGTTTTAATTTAGTTAATACATATTTTATTTTAATAGAAAAAAATTAATTTGAATTTTCGATGATGACTTACTTCAAAAATCATTCTACCCGCCGGTGACGCTGATGTTAAATACTTTCTAAATTGATTCATTCAGCCAAAAATTTGCAACCTTCATCTCTACGTTTTGCAACCTTCATCTCTACGTTTTTGCAACCTTCACCTCTACTCTGGTTGCCATTTGCCTTTGATCTGTTCAAGCTGTTCCTCCTGCTCTGACGCATCGCGGTTGTGGTTGTTGCAGATCCGGAGCGCAGCGCCGCAGCGAGGGTCGAGCGCGCCGAGAGCCCCTCGGCGGGGAGCTGCGGGCGGTCGGGGCGGGGGCGGGGCGGGCGCGGCGCTGCGCCCGCGTGGGCCGCGTGGGGCGCAGAGTGGCCGGAGTTGACGTCGCACCCGCACCCGCGCATGGGCAGACTTGAAAAAGTCGGGGCCGCGGGGCTGGCCCGCGGGCCACCCCCTGCCTCTGCTCGCGTGGGGCGCGCCGCCGGCCCGCACCCGCACCCGCCTCCGCTGCGCGCGGCCTCCGTGAGGCGTTACGAGAGCTGGCGTCGGCGGCCGAGCTTGGCCGGAGCAGCAGCTGCCCTGCGCGGCACCACTACAACAGCGTTGGGCAACCTCCTCAGGTGTGCGTCTGCACCGCACCCGGGTGCGAGCGGTTACAGCAATTGTTACTGCGTGTTTACAAAGCGTATCGTTCAACCAACACATTGCCCTAGAAATCCCGTATTCCATCGCTAAAATGTGCGACAAGGTTTCAAGTTAGTAAAATATACCTCGCTCTAATAAAAATAACTCATTAAAATATGAAATTTAGACTTTAATAATAATAATAATATAATAATAATAATAATAATATAATAATAATAATATCATTATTAATGTATAATGTAATTCATATAATATTATATTTAAATAATAATATAATATATTATATTATAAAATATAATATTATATAATATATTATTATTGTTGTAGTCAACGTTACGGAATTTTTACGTTCTTTGAACCTTTCGTCAAGGTGCGAATTGGCAATTTTCTTCTAAGGAGACATGCAAATCTTAATCAAAGGGTTCGAGTGAGGATGGAATATGAATCGCAAATCATCGCGTAAATAGAATGATTCCTAATAACACTCTCCAGATGTTATGTTTTCTTGTCCAATTTCTCTGATTTGTATTCCTTTATTAGAACACTTCACAGTGAGAAACTCATAAACACAGCATTTAGGCCTACTATGGCTTCGTTGTATCCCTATACATTGGTACTCTCCGGCGAGGGAGATGATCCCTCTCCCCTCCGTCAGTTAATACCTGCCTTTCGTGATGCCTATGAATTGCTATGTGCTTCACGGCTTAGATATAGACACGCCTTGCAGGACCGGATGTAAAATGGCCGGTTTTTTCCTATTGGCATCGCCAAATCTACAGTGAACAAGTAATAACTCCCATTCAGAAACTATTCTTGTAAGCGAAAGCGCCGGCCAGACGATATGCAATGTGCCACACATGTATGTGCACAGTGTTGCCTCGGCAGGCGTCTAGTCATACTTCCGATTTCATTCTCCAGATTTATTGACAAATTTCCTCATCTACTCTCTGTACAGTTTTTCTTGTCTTCAGTCCTACAACCACAGCAAATCTCCTTAAGGCATTGCAGACATCTCAGGTTCCTGAACACATAACGATCAGTGTGTTGCCCTGTTTCCTGTTTGGCAATGGCAAGTTATTTAAAGGAAAAGATAAAAAGGAAATTACATTAAAATAGCAGGAAATGTTAATTATTTTTGTAATCTCTTTTTGATAAAATATAATGCAAGAGCTGAATTTTGTATATATGCAGTGCTATTCGGGAACAATCTTATTTTTGAAATATATGAAAAGATACTTTAACATGTAAAATTGATCCCTCAAAATAGAAATTGTACTATTTCAAAAACCACTCTTGATTCATGCTTGCATATTATTACATGGAATTAATATTATGTTTTTAGTAATCGCTGTATTTTCTTACAGATTCTATCAAGAGTTTCGTGCCAGTGGCCAGCCCAACTTGGCCCTCTTTTACCGCAGCTACATTCCTCCAATCACCCCTGAGCATTACACTTGCGTTGGACTCGCGTTAGAACTTCTGTGCAGGCTCGCCAACCTTGAGCCTCGCTTCCCAGGCATCTCATCTTGCCTTTATCTTGTATCCTCTGAAGAAGTAAGTTATTCTTAGACTTGGACAAAGTAAATTCAATTTGTATTATACTTTGTAGATAATTTTATTAAATTATATTGAAAAGAATTATTTAATCGAATTATTTTCGATTATCTCACGACAGTAATGTGTGAAATTACAAATTATATCATGATCATGTAGTTAACTGAAGGTCTATAAACATTGTTTCAGTCCATTGAAGAACTGGAAGAATATGTAAATCGTGAACCAAATCCCAGAACAACTGAGAAGGAACATGTCATGGTGGCCATGCATCTCAACATTGCTGGCAGATCTGGTGTAATGCTTCTCGATCCAGGGTATCATGTAGCACGGGTTATTACTGTCATGGCTGATGGTCTCTATCCTCACACAGGTAAGAAATTGCTTTGGGTAATTAGTGAGAAAATACATGTTCATTATCTGAAATTTCATTTCAAAATTCTAAGAATAGTAACTATTGAACAGAAAAATGCATAACTAGTGTTTTCAATGAAATTTATTTGCGAAATGAAAATATATAATTTAAAACAATTAAATTGTAAACAAAATTTTATCCATTGCAGGTTGGTTTGTGCAGTCAGATGAACCTCATTGCCGAAAAGAATACAACTATACGCTGACCGCTGATGGAAAATACGTTGTTTGGTGTAATCGTGAAACTCGAAATAACTTGGAAGAGAATTCCTTGGCGTTGATATACGTTGCAAGGCCTTTCCTGAGTCCTATAGAAGTCACAGAGCGCAGAAATCTTGTTTACAACTTCAGGAGCCTCTTAGCCCGTGACACAAAAGGACATTTGATAGCTGGCTTTTACTTAAAAGTTGAATGTTCAAATCAACCGGCTGTCACAATTTTCCATCAAAACGGAAATTCAACAAAAAGGAAAAAAGTTACATTTGAAGACTTATTAAAACCTGAAGCAACGGAAGAGGTTCAGAGCATCATTCACATCTGCAATCAACAGTTAGGAATGCCAGAAGGGCATCTTCAGATCATCCTTGCCAACCTCGCCATTATACTGGCAGACTCTGATTTCATCTCTCAACTTTTGGGCATCAATCGAGACATCTACGAAATGTCTTGCAACAACTAGGCTCTGCGTCTCCGGTGCCTGGCATCGCCAGGCAGCCGGGGACATTCTCGATCATCCCTGCCCGCGGGCCTCGTCTGGAAATTCATCTTATTTTACAGTCTAGCCTCTATAATACTTTTCTTAACTTTTTGTTTCTGGACTTGATTGAAATGCTTTTAGTTCCGACTTTTAATGTAGGAAACATCATTTCTTATACATTATTGCATTCATTATGAATCTTCATTGTGTTATGAATGGTTCTAGGCAATCAACTGCAAGAATTGTGCAAACCAAGTCTATATGTATGAAAGATAAAATATAATACATGAATGAGAGAGAAAATCGCATCCCAGTTGATTGAAAGGTTCCATTCCAATTATTTGATTTATGTAGTTGCATATTTTGTACATACTTGTATTAGAAGTGCGTTACAAACATTTACATTTTGTTTATATATCATATTACTATTATGTTTGGAGATGGTATGGTAATGAATTCCATTTAACTAAACATTAGTTTTCATTTAGTAAACAATTATTCTTAAAATTCACTAGACTTTACATCCATTTTTATTTTATAATAATCTCCTGGATTTACTCTGCATGATATACATATATGTTAAACAACATTTTGTCATTTTTCATAATACTTGTTTATGCTTCCGTAAAGATCTGTATTTAAAAGTTAGGTTACAAAAATATATGAGTTTCAAGAATTAACATAATTTATTATACCTTTCCTATCCTGTTTTGCCAAGATAGATATGTTGACCTAAAAATACATTTTATTTACGAAATTATGAGTCAATAATGCAGGAGAGACAAGACGAGCGGGCAGGCGGGCAAATAGAGCGACAGACTGACAGGCGTTTTGAAATAACACCCGTTTCAAATCAAATAATTTTCTCTTCAGCCTCCCTCCAACCATCTCGCCACAAAAATCCCGCTCTAAAGCCTTTCTCTTTTTTCGATTTTCTCGTCTTTTGTCTCTTTTGGTTAATTCTTAATTTGATTGGCTGCTTATCTAAAATTTGAAAATTAAATATTTTTCCGCAACATAATGTTTAGCGCGTTCTTTATTCAATTTTTATCACAATAAAACTTTTATTTCACTGTTTACTCTTTTCTTGCGAAAAGAGCAATTATTGCGGGGATTAACACTACTCGTCCGTATTTTCCGCATATAATTAATAAGCTAAAAATATTTAAATAGTTGTGCTACAAAATGGCACAGATTTTCTCTATTAATTTTCTTATATCCCATTTCCTTTTGTCCCGGCTAGCTATTCGGGCTTGCTACATATTCTTGCCAGCTGCCATCCATCGCCGCCCAAAGATCATTTTTTTGACATTTTCTTAATTTTTCGATTTCCTCATAGTGGAAGAGAAATATTATTTTAAAAATATTAAAGAACAGTAAAACCACGTCGTAATTGGCAATTTTCTGTGAAAAATTTGGAGACGTTTTTAGGAAAATGGAGATTGGAAAGGCGCTACTGTAAATTCGAAATCGGAAGTTCTTTTTCACAGAAACGTTTTCAGTTTTTGAAAAACTTCGTTACAAGTCATTGGAAGCACATTTACTCACAAATACACAGTGTTTACAAAATGCTGGAAATGTGCATATTAATAGAGTGAGAGATCTTTCAAAAAATTACATTTACGTAATTTTTTTTTAAAATCTACTCAGAAACGAACTTTACGTCATATTAAAGAGTGTAATAAGCACTATCCAATCGACAAGTTTGAAGAACAAATTTTGAGCTTTTTTGAAAAAATGACGTTTGAGCATTTTTGAAAATGCGGAATTTTGACCTAGTTTTCACAAAAACGGTTGAGTTTTCGTGAAACTTTATATGAAATTTAAAACACATGCACTCATAAATATAATAATGTGAACACATTGCTTCTAGTACAAATATTAACAAAGTGAGAGACAATTTAAAAAATAGGTTTTTGAAATTTTAGAAAAAGCAAAAGAATATATCAATATGGCGTTTATGTCATCATAGAGTGCAATTAGTACCATCCTTTGGTACAATTAGCACCAAGAATTTAAAGAAAAAATTTGGAGCCGTTTTTGAGATCTTGTCTCACTACCCTCTTCCGAACGTCGTGTTTTCCACGCTACTCGTGCGAAATCCACAGTTTATTTGCAATAGCACAGACCTTCACAAGCCCGTGTGAAGGAAGGAGAGACGCAAAGTGCAATTCTAATGCAATTCTTCTAATGCGTACTTTGGGTTCAGAGCTTCTAATCGTTCACTGTTGCAAAGTTCGATGAGTTGCAAGTATTGTGTTAATCCAGTGTTTATAATGTCAGGTGGCAAATTGAAAAAGTTTACTCTTGGTGAGAAAATTAGACTAAGATAATAACATGAACAGAGCAATACTACTTCAAGGTCACTGGTGAATCCAAGGGGGGGTCTGGGATCATTGGCTCCCCCCTACAGTTATAGAGTTTTTGCTTACCTCCTTTATGTATTCATTGTTAAGCAGCGGTGGTGTGCGGACGTGGTTTGTTCGTCTAGCAGAGAACTCGTGTCTAGAGATTGTGTTCCTGCAGTGCGTAGTAACAAAGATTGGTGCTCGCAGTGAACGTTTCACGCAAACGCATGACCAGTCTATGTCATGCGGCACAGACTCATCAACAGGGCATGCTACATTTTAAGCCCTGATAACTCTCCACAATAATGATACCGACGCCTTCATCAACGGTGAAGAAATTTCGACGCTGCAAATTCTATCATCAGGGGAAGCCATGGAATTGGGACTCGGCACTGGAGGAAACTCGGAGGCTACGAAATCCCCCGAGCTACACTCAGCGAACAGCGAACTCCAACGCCATGTCCGGTGAACAGGAAAGGATCAGTCGGTCAACTGATAACGGACTTTCATAATAAAAAAGTGAGGAATCCAGCATTTACAGTGATCCACCTGTCCATGATAATGACTTACAATATAACGTGCCGTGTGCTTGCTAGTTTAGACCCCATGCCCAAGGGCACACGGTACGAGTATCTAAAAGATCGCCACTAACATCAAACAAGTGTATCAAACAGAATCCCACCAATATTTATTGCCTACATCAGTCAAGTTAATAATTTCATCAAAGAACTAAAAATGAATGTAACACAAATTTTCATAGCAGACATCAAAAATAACAAAGTTAACAACAGTTCTAACACATCTACAGACTTTTGTAGTATAATTAAATATTTAATACAAACGCAGAGAAGTTTCCACACGTTATATATCCATCTAATAAAAAATATTCAGTTGTTTTTAAAAAAAACTTGCATGAATCAATCACGGAACAAAAAATCTTTGCAGATTTAAAACAGAGCCATCTATCAATTATCAAAGTCACACGACTACTACAAGACTACAATCCAATTCCTGCGGTGGCCGCCGATTTTAACGGAACCGAACCAGAGAAAATTTTAGCAATATTGCAAATTTGTAATCACCGTATGAAAACAGAACTAAAAAAACCTCAAGGACCTTGCAATCTCAAAGATGTTTAGATTACGGTCACCCCAAAGATAATTGCAAATAAGTCATTAATTATGCTTTTTGTACCGGATATCACTATTCTGTGACTTTTAGGTACTCGAACCTTGCGTCCTCGGGCGTAGGGTCAAAACTAGCAAGTACACTCAATGGAATCTTGATGATCTTGTTAATGATTTAAATTTGCCAAAGCATCTATCTGAACTTTAAATTTCGCGATAAAATTATGGTATCTTCTTTCCCCATGTAAAAAATTGTATTTCATGGTCGCCAAGTGGTGTTTCAAAATATTTCTTCAGGAAAAAAGAGAAAGCATTTTGTAATTATATCTAATCCGTTATGGAGACTCTTGGCCATGATTTTAATGAAAATGAGTGGAACTAATTCACAGATTCTAGCAAAATAGTTATGAAAGCACTACTTCCCTACAATGGGAAAATTTTTCTTCTGTTCCTTCTATGCAGTTAACGTGAAGGAGACCTATGAGAAATTTAAACTGCTCCTCATTCACATCAAATATAAGAAATGCAAACGGAATATATGTGAATATCTCAACGTAATTGCAATTATACTTGGCATGCAGCTCAAGTACAGAAAGCAATACTTCATGCCGTGTAAGTGGGGCAGCAGAGACAGAAAAAATCACTATTGTGAGAAAAAATAGCTTGTTTGGATTGAACTACTGCCTAGACAGAGAAATTTGGTTAACACTCCTCTTGTTGACCACGCAAAATGCGTACGTGCATCCTCTGCACATTAAATTGGGTCTCGTTAAAAACTTCGTGAAAGCCATAAACAAAACATCATGTGGATTCATCTATTTGCTGTACTAAACTCAACAACAGTTAAAGCATACACATACTTCCAAAAATCAGAAGAACTAGCGAATTATTTCGCATAACTTTCACCGTCACCAGTGGCGGCGCGTGCTCTTAATCACAGGAGGTTCACAAGGATTAGAATCTTAAAACTCTAAGATATACCACTAAGCTAAGATACTTCATAGCTCACATCACGGTACAGCACGAATTCACACTCAGTCGGCCAGACCAAGCCAATACTGGCCCACAATGCCCACGAATCTGCAGAAGAGATTTCTAATAATTTGTCACTGCTAACAGAATTGCAAACCTTTGAATATAACTATGAAATGAATTAGAAACTTTCGAATATGAAGACGATATTTATCCAATATATTAAACTCACATTCCTTGAATTATTGAAATATACTGTATATAGTTTTTGTAAGAAGATACAGCATAAATAATATTTTATAAAAAACAGAAATATGGTACTTAGTTGGCCCCGAGTTTTCATTCGGCTAAGAAACCTTGGGGTTCCCCTGAGTCTCTGTTTTTCTTGGACTTTCTTGACAAAGAAGCCTTTGTGGCGATCGTGGAGTTTCGCCACATTGGAGAGCAGCGCATATTCGCCGCATCTTCCCCTCTTGCCTCTCGCCTCACCTCGCCCTCATTTGACGCCGCTCGGGGGATCTCCGCCGCCTACTGAGCCCCCTACCCGCTGCGCGGTGGCATGAGGCGGCGCTGAAGCGGCGCGCCCCACCTTTGCGCTGCCCAATGAATTTTTGATAGCATTCTTATCTGAAGAGTCCCAGTAAGGACAACAAAAAACACCATCATTCAGCTGAAATACAAAATTCCGATCTCCTGGAATTTTTTGGGGGTTCACTGACCCACTGAACCTCTTGCACGGGACACATCACTATAACCAAATCGTTAGCATTAGAACAGGAATATGTACAACACCATAAAATACATTACACATCACCCTCTGAAATTAAAAAAAATATTATTTAACTGCCACTCAAAAAGTCACCAGGACACGGCAGTATAAATAATACCATACTAAAGCATTTACCTTCACCAACAATGGCTACCCTAACAAACATTTATAATTTGTGTTTCAGAACAAATTACTGTCCGCATACCTGGAAACATGCAATAATTATCCCCATTTGTAAACCAAATAAAAATCCAGCAAACACGAACGGTTATCGTCCGATTAGTTTATAATCATCACTATCAAAAATATTCAAGAAAATTATACTAAGAATATTACACAGTCACCTACACATAACAGAAACAATTCCTAGAGAACCGTTTGGATTTACTGAAGAAAATGTTCACACAACACCAGTTACTAAGAATATCGGAACATATGTACACAATTCCAGAAAAATCAT